AAGTCACTTACCTAAAATATTTGAGAGGGGGCTTTCAATAAAAATTCGGCTAAAGAGAGAAAGAGTTCATTGTGTTTCGACTAGAGAGAGAAAGATCTCAAAAATTCTATAAGGTGGGAGTCCTCGCCTCTCCTATTTAAATTCTTAAGACACCTTATTATTTTATTTTATTAAGTTACACCGCATACATGAGGTATAACGATTATATTACACCTGAATTTAAAGCCCATGTCCACTAAAGGACATGGCAAGGCAGAAAAAACTTAAACCAAAAGCTTTTGAAAGTAGTGATGGTCCCTAAGGACCATCATGCTCATATGGACCATCACTTATTAAAAGTTTCTTTCTTTCTTTTTTTTTTTTATTTTATTTTATTTTATTTTTAATTTTAAGATTATTACATAAAAGTTTATATAAGGTTGCAACCTTAAAATGTAGATTTATATATACACCTCAAAAATCTACCGGAAAGGTTGTTTTAATGTTAAAAAACCCTCTGTTTGATCATCTCGACATCGAGATGTATGAATATATATAAAAAAAGTTTTGATTCTCAGAAATGGTGCATCTTGCAACACAATATCTAGACCGTCAATTTTCAAGATTTTCGTATGTTTATAGATCTCCTTGATTTTAACCATTTTTGGTATTTTAAATTTTCTAATTAGATATGAAAATAGATTTTAAGATAATCCTAAGAATTTTTTACAATAAAATTACATGTTATGGTAAAATTTGGAGGTACGCCTTAATTGGATTGTTTAAGGTTGCAACCTTATAGAAACCGCACCCTTTAGAAGATGGCTTTCTAAGTACGTAGTTGTGAAATAGTTTTTTCATGAGAAAGTTCCGGTAAACGAAATTCAGTCTTGAGGGCCTCCAAAGTGCGCTTTCACGAGCTTTAAAACCCAACAATTCCTTATGTAGATCATTGATACATATGGAAATAGTTGGTTTTGGTATGCTATAGGTTCAACCTGGTCCCCCCTAATCTCATCTCCTATATCTTTTTATGTTTTATGTTTATTTAATATTTTCTCCACTCTTCCCTCAAACCCACTTTATAAACCCCTATTTTAATTTTAATTTTATTTATTTTTAATGATTTTCTAAGTCACCAATTTATACAAATCCAGATCACCGATCTAGTGATCCAACACAGATATTTAAGGTGAACGATCCACCATATCGGTTTGAAGTTTAAAACATTGCGGGAAATAAGAGTATCCTTGCAAGCCCTTCTATTTCCCAATACAAAAATGGATGTGATGCATACAATCATGAGGTCCTTTCCCTAGGATTCGTAAGGCGGGTTATCCAAACATGGAATACCCTCTAATTTGGCCCGAGAGTTGGGTTTGGCCTTGAGATTTCTACACGGTGGTCAGGCAGGGTCTGGCCTAGTCCAAAGGCCATGACCCAGTCCCATCTAACCTCTTTTTCATGTTTTCTTATGTACTTTTGAAAAAGTTGTAATAGGCTTGTCCTAGCTTGGGTGGGCCAAAAAAAAGGCCTGACTAAGCCAAACCACCTCTGCCCAGGTGCTTAGGCATCTCTGACCTAGAGTGGCCCAAGCCATTGCCAGCCCATCTCTCATGTCATATTACAAAATAGCTTTCTAACAAATGGGAGTTAGTGACTAATAGGCTTTTCACTTCTCTCTGTGTTATACTATGATCCATATGACCATGGAAAGAAATACGGTCATATGTAGCATCTCCTTGGAGCACAAGGATCACTAGATTAGAAAGATGACCATGGAAAGAAATATATATATATAGCTTTGCCTTTGCCAAGCTCTTTGGCTTGCGATTAAAATCTCTTTTGACAGTCTCTTTCTAGCCTATGTCCTCCTTCTTTGTTTCTCTATGTAGAAGATTCAGTATTATGTTACTGTTCTTTTTCTTTTTTTTTTGACACACTTGCATGAATTTGTGCAAGCTTTGTGTATAGTCTGTGGCTGCAGGTTTATGCACAAGTTTGTACAGTCTTTTTGAGCACTTGCTGTAGTTTTTGTTTTAGTGCAAATTTGTGCCAGCTTCTAGTGTAATTGGTAACTATGATTCTATACATAAGTTTAACCAGTTTCTTTAGGCACTACAACTACCTTCGTACACGAGTCTGTGTAAGTTCTTAAGTGATTGACTGCTGTTTTTTTTTTTCATTGACTGACATGGATCATTTTGGCCACAAGCCCTTTAGTTGGTAATAATTATTTTACTTGGAGACGAGCCATTTTGAAAGCCTTAAGTGCAAAACATAAATTAGGTTTCATTGATGAGACGATCCATCAACTTGAAATTGGCTCCTCCAAGTACAGATTGTGGCAACGATGCAATGACATGGTTCATTATTGGATCGTGAACACACTTTCAAAACCTCTTTCGAATAGTGTGATTTATATTAAAAACGGCAAAGGGCGTGTAGCTCGACCTTGAGCAAAGGCTTTCCCAAAGCCATGCACCTAAAAAGTTTAAACTCAAGAGATGCTTAACTAGATTGCAACAGGAGCAACGTCCACTTGTCGAAAATTACTCCATACTTAAAACTTATATGGATGAACTCGTATCCTATGCCAGTGATTCCAAGAAAGTAGATGACGAAGAGAAGTTATACCAATTCCTAATGAAGCTTCATGGGTCTTTTCAGCTCTCCGGAGCCAAATTTTTGCTATGGAACAGTTGCCAAAGGTTGGTAAAGCCTCCTCTATCCTTTAAAACAAACGGAAAATGAGACAAAAAAATTTCTAGTAGGTTTCTCATGATAGTATAGTAACGAAGGTTATGGTTTTTCTTTTAAAGCTCGAGGCCGAACTTGTCACAAAAATGTCATGTAACGAAATGCCTATCACATTCTAAGGGGTAAGACTATCAACATTGTCTATTGAAGGACTTGTTGGATTTTTTTTTTTTTTTTTTATGTAATGGTAAATTTTGTTAGATAAAGGAGCAGAGCTCCAAGATTATAAAATAGAGGCATATAAATTGTATTCCCTACTTTAAAAAACAAAGCACTGCAACATCGGAACACAGCCTAAAATTCTAATCTCGAAGGATCTGACTCTGCTCAAAATACATCCACCCTAAGAACTCCCCACAAAAAAACTCCCCACAAAAAACTCCCAAATACATCCACCCTAAGAACTCCTCACAAAAAACTCCCAAATACATCGACTCCAAGAACTCCAAACCTAATCCAAAG